CAACAGACCCTTGAGTTTAAGGGGGTGGATGTCTCTCATCAGATTTCCAATTCTTGTCATTACAGTGATTTGAGCATTGTTGGGGGGGTGGCTAACTCACAGTTGAGGTTAATTTGCCCTGCATTTCCTTAAGTTAACCCAGGAACTGGACACGGACAACTACTGGGTGTGGCCCACATACCCTCATTCCTGAGGTTTCTAAATTATTTGATGGTCAAGCCTGGTTTAGCTACCATGAAAGCCAAGGTGTGGTCCTGGTTCTACTATGGTGAGGGAAACCCTTGGTTAGATGAAAAGAGGGTGCTGTCCACACATCTTTATAGTTTAAGTGATCTCAGGCTACTTGGTGGCTAAGGAGCTGCCAGGTTAGCATTGGTGGAAGTTCATGGCTTATGATCTAATGTCAATCATCAGCACAGAATTGGTTGTGGGTGAGTAAAGGTTTCTTGGTGAACATTGTGTGGCCTGGGTCACAAATGGTTTGGTTTGTCCAACAAAATAAATTGAAGATAATGTCTGGGGTCAGAGCAGGCCATGATCATGGGTGTGTCCATTTCTTTTGGTCATTAAGGTGATGAGATTTGGTCCCTTTAAAGCCTGGCTCATTTGTAGTGAGATTGTTTCCTGGGCTATATGGAGAGAAGGTGAAGACCACACACTCTTGATAATGTAAGAGCTCTGGCTACATGAAGGTCAAGGAACTACCATGTTCCTTTGAGGTCTGTTTATGGGCTTACACCTGTGTTAATAATCAGATCATTAACAAAGTCCCCTTCTTGAAGGATGGAATGAGTCCAGATGTTAATTAATTAGAACAAGATAAATTTTGGACTAGTCCAAGAGTCTTAGTAAACAGATTAGGGTCTGAGTTACACTTGAGACTTGTTTGTTCTAAAAAAAAAAAAAGAAAGAAGAAAAAGAAAGAAAGAGAAAGAAAGAAAGAAAGAAAGAAAGAAAGAAAGAAAGAAAGAAAGAAAGAAAGAAAGAAAGAAAAAGAAAGGAAGGAAGGAAGGAAGGAAGAAAGAAAGAAAGAAAAGAAAGAAAGAAAGAAAGAAAGAAAGAAAGAAAGAAAGAAAGAAAGAAAGAAAGAAAGAAAGAAAGAA